CACATAAACCCAGTGTTGTTTTTCTGGCAACAGCGAAAGGTGTCCAGGCTATCTTGTGTGAGCTTGTGCACGCAGCTTACAAAAGAGACTTTGTAATTGAGGTTTTGCGCTTAATGAAGGAGTAAATTGAACGGGAGTGTTGTCCTTAATTGGGGTGTTGCATTAATTAAGGTGTTGCACTTAATTGGGGTAAAGCATTTAATAAGGTATTGTTTTTAATGGGGATAGTTTATGTAAATGGGATCAGTGCGTTAATGGGGTGCTACACCACCAATGCATCTGCCAGCCCTGGCGGACGTGTAATCTGTCACTGTGGGCTGAACTGAGCATCAGGTCCCTGCACATGAGAGAGCCCAGCTCAGACATAGCCTGCCCACAGGACCAGGGCCGCCAGAAAGGCTGGTCTCCGATGGCAGAGCTGCCTTCCTCCCCATCCCAGCACTGCGTGGCTGGTCACAGTTTTCACAGTGATGTCTCTGCTCCCTGCTCTGGTGCGTATGACTCCCTCCCACCATTCCCAGCCCTGCCGCTCATCATGGGCACAAGACAGCCAGAGGTTTCGGCGAGTGGGGTGCAGGCAGCATTACTGCTCCCGTGGCCACCCCACAGCCAGCTCCACGGTGGATGGTGACGCCCAGCATGCTTTTCACACCATTGCCAGCCCTGTTCTCCTGTAATTAGAGTGGACGTCTTGTCATCCCAGATCTCCCCACAGATGAGGTGTTCACTGCCATCACCGTGGACCCTGACCTGCTGGGTGAGCACCATCAGCATGCTGTGCTGGAAAGGCTGTGCTTGTTAAGCCGACGTGTTTCAAAGGGTCTCGGAGGATCCAACTGGTGTGAGGCAGAGCTGAGTGCTGCGGCCAGCTGGGCTCCGCAGTCAACATTTCCTTCAATTAGATCAAAATTAATGATCGCCCTAGATCCACTTCCCTCCAGGCACGGGGCTGCGGCCAGCACTGGCTCTGAAGTGTGTGGAGCTGGCAAGGAAGATGCGGCAGCCGGCTCATGGGCTTGAGCTGGCGGCAGAAGTACGCAGAAAGCAGGACCCATGTCCCGCCCAGCTCGGACAAGCACAGCATCAAGTGGGTGCTGCCTCCTGGGGGCCTCCCCTTGGGCAGCCTGTGGCTGTAACTGTCCCACCACCTGTGTCCCCCACCCTCCCGCACTGCCCAGCCATGGCACCCTTTGGCCCCTGGGGTCGATCCCCTGTTCCCCCAGTGAAGAGCCACAGCCCCGCAGGGTGGCTGGGAGGGTGAGCTCACCGCAGCAGCACAGCACCAGTGCCAGAGCATGGCAGGAGGCTGGCTGAGTGCTGGTGCAGCAAGGAGTTGATCCATTGACTCATGGCAAGATAGGGAAAGCCCAACCAAACCCTCGTCTGGATCAGCCTAAGAATAGAAATGACAGCATCTAAGTCTTGAGGGGATGAATTATCATGAGGGTGCTGGGGTGCACCACAGCAGGATAAGTCCCACCAGGCACCCCTCCAGGCTGTGGGCCAGTTTCTCCCATGGAGAGACCCCACCTAACTCCCTCTGCCTTCCACAGTGTGTCAGGGACCTGATGCTCCAGAAAGCCCCTCCTCTGTGCTCTGTAATTTTGTCTACAGATGCAGCCTCTTGGCCTCCTCTGCTCTCGCCCAAGCTCCCAGTGCCTCCAGCCAGTCTCCAGCACTGTTCTCCGTTATTGCCATCCTCTCTACTCTTTCCAATTAGTTTGGATTTTTCCTGACATGTGGTCCAGGACCAGGCACAGAGCTCCCACCGAGGCCTCGCCAACAGCAGTGTTTCAGAGTCCTTGCAAATAACGCTCCTTCTCACACAGCCCTGAGCAATGTCCTGCTTTCCATCGAGCTTAGTGCAGGGCATCTAGATATCTATCTAGTTATCCATCGAGCAGGGCAGCTAGATATCCTATATATTAAACTGGCGGATCCCATATCCCAAACGAAGGAGGCTTCCCTTGATTTTCCCTAGCTCCCACCTGCTTTTCCAAGCCAGCTGCCTGGCTGCTGGGCATCTGGAAATTCAGCTTCTGCATGCACAAATAATGGCACCTGTGCGGCATGTCCTTCCTGGTGGGGTCTGACCCTCTGCATGCCTTGTTTATCCATCTGGTGTCGGTGCTAAACTCGGACATGCCAATGGTGCTGCCCACTGCCGATGAGGGCTCTGCCCTGCCGCCTGCCTGCTTGGCAGCCCTGCCCTCTGGCTGCTTGCCCTCCACTCTCTGGGCAGATTTGCTTCCCGCCCCAGCTCAGCTCTTGGCACTTGTCCTTTTGAATTGTATCTGATTGTTTTCAGGCCATTTCTCCGATTTGTCAACATCATTTCATATTCCAGTCCTGTCTTCCCCAGCACTTACAGCTTCCCCCCATCATCTGAGTGTAGTGTGTGGGCTCTGCGCCAAGCCCCTGCTGCTCAGCAGTCTCTTGGGATGGGGGGCTTGGGAGCAAGCAGAGGGACCCCCCTCTCCTGATCCAATTGCGAGCCCTTGGTTGGTTTCCCTGTTTTGTCAGCTCACTTGCAGAGTAGGTAGTGAAGTCAGCACCCACATGCAGCCCCACTGCATGCCACAGAGTCTCTCCTTGTGGCCTTATACCCCCCATGCACAGGCGTGCAGTATTCAGCTACAGGTGGGAGGCTCCAATGCAGAACTGTGGGCTGTAGACATGCTGCTGAGTGGCCATTCCCAACTGGTGCTGTGCTGGTTGCCTTGGCTGCTCCCAGGATAAAGTGGTCCTTGAGCCCTGCTGCCTCCCCTTCCAGCCATGCTACTGCTCTGCTCCCTGCCTCTCCAGCCCAGTGTCTCTCCCAGCACACCCCCTCCCCCGGTGCTCCCTGGTAGTGAAGCCTTCCCCATTCTTTGGCATGCAGGAGGCCTGCAACCACAGGTGGGGCTGGGGCTTTTCCCTTGGGTACCACTCACTTGGGCAGCTTGATCCCAGCCCAGTGCTGTGCCTTGGGTCATCCTGAAAGAAGATGGCCAGGCAGAAGCAGGGCACAGCAGAGGAAGAAGGGCAGGAGAAGACATATCTTTTTGGTCACACAGGAGGGGACGATGCTGAGAGGTGTCCCCAGCCAAGGTGGCAGTTGCTAATGGAGCAGAAGATGTCCAGAGAGAGGTGGGGTCTGTGGTCCCTGTGATGTGGGGGCAAGGGCTGTGTAGGCAGCTGGGAGACACACAGTCCTGCTCCCATGCCATGTCCATGCCATAGCTCCTGCCAACCTCACACTCACACAGATCATCTTGCCCTGTGCCTCAGGATCTGCGTTTACAGGGTGGACCTGCATGTCAGATCCCCCATGCCCTTGCACCCCTCACCACCACAGCACGGAGAGATGCAGGGAGGGACTCTGCACCAGGCACTGCAAACCAAACACCCATTGCCTTGTACCAAGGACCATCTTTGTCACAGGATCAGTCCCTTGCTGTCCAGTCCTTGGAGCACCAAGCATCCCTGGGGGCTAAGCCATGCGGAAGCAGCTCATGACTTGTGTCTGTGTGTCCGTGGCCACCCGTGGTGGTGGTGGTGGTGTTTGGGCACCCGCCCAGCCCACTCCCCTCCATGCCTCTCCGAGCTGGGGATGCGGGGCTGGCACGTGCACACTGCATCCGCCGGGCAGGGCGAAGCGGGCGGCTGGAGCTGTGCGTGCTCACTGCCGGAGGCAGCCTATCATGCTGTATTGACCTGCACAAAGGCAGGAACATGTGTGCCATGCACAGATCGATGGGAAGATTGAAGATGTGTGTGTGCTTGCCGGACGACTGGGGAAAGCTCTGCCGTTGGCATCGGCAGCACAGTGAAGGTCACACTGACCTGCGGCGCAGTCCCCAGGGAGAGGCGAGGCCTGTGGCTGAGCTCATGAGGGGCTGTCTCGTCATTGTCCTCCAGGGACCCCAGCTTCCCAGCCAGGCATGCTCCTCCCCAGCAGAGCCATGCCTTCTGGGGGAGGGTACCCAGTGCTGGGCTTGTTCCGGAGGTGGGGAGCTGATGTTTCCCCCACCACTGGGTCACTAGGCAATGTTGCAGAGGGTTGCTTGGCTTGTGGGTGAGGGGTCCGGCTCAACTCTTCTAGCAGAGCTAATCCTCTGTCATCAGCTGGGGAAACTGAGGCAGGAAGCTTGGAGAGATCACGACTTGCTGGCAGAAAGTGTGCGTGTGGAGCCACCTAATCCAGGCACCGAGTGGCTCTGTAGTTGGTACCACAGGGTGAACCCCTTAACCTCTTCACTGCTCTGACCCCACTGAACGATGCAGGCAGAGCCTCATTTCTGTAGGCAGGAAGGTGCAGAAGGACACCCTGGGTCCTGAGTGAGGCTACGCACAGGGACAGATGGAGGCGAGTGTGCCTGGAGAGAGCAGAGCAAAACCCGAGGAGGGGCAGGGTCTCAGCAGGGCAGGAGGAGGTGAGGGGGACCCCGGCTCAGCCTTTCTTCCAGAGCCGGTCACTGCCTGAAGTGACCCCGTTTCCTGCGGTCTGCCCTGGGGAACCGCGGAGCTCAGCGTGCGGCACACGGGGGCCGGGGGGCAGGAATGGAGCTGGGGGAACCCAGCCCGGGAGCACAGCAAGCGCAGCGGGGAGGGGAGCGGTGGTCACGGGGTGTGCGCGCTGGTGCTGCCACCCTCGTGGCTCTGGGACACCGGGGAGCACGCAGTGTGGGTGGGGGTGCACCCCCGGCGCCCCGTCTCCAGCCTCGCTCAGGCGGTGGCTTGGCGGCCGGTTCTCGGCGGGGCCGGGACCAGGACCGACGGGTCCCGGCGCTCCCCGGCTCGGGGCGCGGCGGGCCGTGGCAGGGAGGCGGTTAACGGCCAGGGAGCCGCTGAGGCAGGAGGAGTCCGCAGGCGGGAGAGCAGGAGGGGGCCGCCGGGCGAGGTGCCCGCAGGCTGCCCGCCCCTGCCGAGCCGCGCCGCGCTCTGCCCCGGGGCGCTCGGGCCGGCGGGGCACAGCGGGGAGAGGCGGCAAGAGCAGCGTTGGCGGCGGCGGAGGGGGCAGGCTCCGTGCCCCGCCCGCCTCGGCTCGGCACGGCTCGGCACGGCTCGGCATCGCACGACGCGGCACGGCTCGGCATCGCACAAAGCGGCGCGGCACGGCTCGATTCCGCACGACGCGGCTCGGTTCGGCTCGGCTTCGCACGGGTCAGCACGGCACGGCACGGCTCCAGCAGCTCCCGAGCCATTCAAACAAGTGGCTCCGGCCGCACTTCATAGCTGGGGCTGGGGAGAGGGTGCAGCGCGGCTCCCTGCCCCGGAGGCGCCGGGCCCCTCACACTGCCTCTTTTCTCTGCTGCTCGCTCTTTATTTGACGATGAAATAATGTTGACATGTCTTGAATTATTAAGTATTCCCTGGATTTTATTAGCACATGATGCCTAAATGCTGCCTGTATCTGCTGGGGTCTTAACCAGAGAGGAGCGAAGGAGAGAGGCAGAGAGACAGAGCGAGGGAGAGGAGAGAGAGGGGTTTTTGACAGCTGTATTTGTGCTGATAAGCGAAGGCACAAGGAGACGATCGACTAGTGAGACAAGAGGGAAGCGGCGGCTCAGAGCTGCTGAGAGGGGCTGCGCTTCCCTCCCGAGACGGCTCGGCCCTCCCGGCGCCGTGCCGGGGCTTGGGGGGGACCCGAGCCCCCTCCCAGCGCCTGGCCGGGCTCTCGGACAGTGCCCGTGCCGGGGGGCAGCTCGCTGGCTGGGCACGCCGGCAGCGAGGGGCAGATGCCGATTGAGATCGTGTGTAAAATCAAATTTGCCGAGGAGGATGAGAAGCAGAAGGAGAAAGAAGAAGGGGATAAGGAGAGCCTGATCGAGGAGCCTGCCCGGCCCCGCTCTCGGGACCTGGCCGCCTTCGCCAGCACCAGCACGCTGCACGGCCTGGGACACATCTGCCGGTCAGGGCGGCTGGGCGTGCGCCAGACCCTCTGGGCGCTCGCCTTCCTCGCCTCGCTCGCCTTCTTCCTCTACCAGGCGACCAAGTCAGCGCTGCTCTACCTGGAGCACCCCCACGTCATGGCCCTGGATGAGGAGGCCACGCGTGAGATGGTCTTCCCGGCCATCACCATCTGCAACATCAATCGCTACCGGCACTCAGCGCTCACCGATGCTGACATCTTCCACTTGGCCAACATGACCGGGCTGCCCCCCAAGGACCGGGATGGCCACAAGGCCACAGACCTGCTCTACCCTGACCCCGACATGGCTGACATTGTCAACCGCACTGGCCACCAGCTCGACGATATGCTCAAGAGCTGCAACTTCAGTGGCGAGAACTGCTCATCGCGTGATTTCACTGTGGTGAGTGCACAACTGGCTCAGCTTCACTGGGGTCCCTGCCGGTGCAGGGGGCATGCACCCGGATGCGCCTCGCTGGAGCAAGGCTGCTCAAGTTTGCATCTCTCTGAGTTTCCCTCCAAGTTTCACATGGAGAGAGGGAAAGGCTGCTCCGTGGGAGCTCTTGGTAGGGGCTCTGTGCCACAGAACTGGGCTGTCAGCAGGTCTGTGCCAGAGGGCTGTCAGGCAGGAGGTTCAGCGGGGGGCAGCGGGGCTCAGCAGTCCCCAGGGTGGGTATTCAGTGGGAAAGCTGCAGTGGGAAAGCTGTGATGTAGCGCTCTGCTCCAGCCTGTGCTTCCCTCTGGGCTGAGGTGCTCTGTTGCAAGATGCCTTGCACAGGGAGAGTGGCTGGGGGGCTCAGGTGACATCCCATTGCACATCAGGGAGCTTTCCTGCATTGGAGAGGGCTGGTGCTGGGATGGGTGTGAATCTGGAGGCTGCCAGAATTGCACACGTGTACATACACATGCTGAGCGGACCCACTCCAGAGGCACAAGAGCGCGGGTGAGTGAGGGGCTGCCTGGGGCTGCCCACCCACAGTCCAAGTCTTGCTGGCAGGGCCTTGTCCCAGCAGTGCCCTGCCTGCCCAGGCAGACAGCTCCTGGCTGGGCACTGCCAACGTGCAGATCCCACTAATATTGAGCCTGGAATCACAAATCCCCGCTGTGGTTTAGGGAAATAAATGTGCTGAACGGGCGGAATACCTGATGGGACCCTTTTCAGACTGTAATGACTCTGGAAATGAGCCGCCTCTCTCCTACGGCTGCCAGGGGCTACTGCTCAGCTGGCTTGCTGTGCTCCCAGGAGCAGTGCTGCCAACCGGAGCCTGCTTTGTGCCGGGGAAGGGGATGTGATGCCATGGGCTGTGCGGGATGATGTGGGGGAAGAGAAGGCTCCGTGGGGCTGGAAATGGCTGAAGCAGCGTGTTTTGTTTCACTTCGTGCCCATCGGTGTTGTACAATGCCTGCTCACTGCACAGGGTGATGCTGTCCCTGGGAAAGCACCGTTTCGGGGGGACTGCCCTGTGCGAGGTGGTGGCATGGGGCACTGCAGTGGATTGGGAAGCAGCGAGGGGACAGCCCTGCTCCACGCAGGGCTTTTCTGGGCTGTGTGCCTGCTCTGTGCCAGCTGCTGGAGTTCACCAGGGAGAAGTGTGGTTCATCAGGGCTGGGAGCAGGGAGCTCTGGTGCTGGACAGTCCTGCACGTGGCTCGGCCACGCTGGCTCCAGCCCTGGCGTTCTCCTGGGGAATCCTGCTTGCTTTGCCTTGCGGGGGAAGCAGCGAGCTCAGCCTTGTGCCAGGCAGCGGCACGGCGTGGCAATGGGATTTGGTGAGTGCTGAGCTGTGTTTGTGAGGCTGGCAGGGCAGAGATCAGGCTCGGGGGGCTGGGTACAAGCTTCCCACAGCGTGGACACGGTGTGTGGTGTGCGCTGTGCTGTGTGGCAGCAGAGGGTGACCATTGGGACAGTCACCAGGACCTGGTTCCTCAGCAGGTGACCATGCAGGACCAGCTGGCCTGCCTGCCTCAGCTGCGCACAGGTCTGAGCTCTGGTGTGCCAGCACCCTGCACTAAAGCATGTTTTAGGCATAAGGACAGTTAGTACCAGCTGATCCATGGCTCATGGCCCAAAGAAGGGAAGCCCAGGGCTCCCATAGCCTTCACCTCCCTGTCCCCTGCTCAGCCCCCCAACCCAGCCTTTGAGACACCAAGGGCTGTCAGCAGAAAGGGGCATCCCTGTCACCTCTCGCTTGCCTGAAGCAAAGGGGTGAACCCGGGGCACGAAAGGCTGCAGGGCATGGACCTGTGGAAGGATGAAGGAAGATGTGACTTCCCTCTGCCACATTCCATGTCCCAAAGCCTTTCCAGTGGAACCTGTCGCGGCATCACACCGTTTGCAGCTGGAGCCTCCTACTCTTGTTCCCTGAGCCGGCTTGGTCTCTTGTGCCTCCTGGGAATGACTGAAACACAGCGTGAGCTGCTTGGCAGGCGGGGTGAGTCCCAGCTGTGATGTGTGGGCTTGGGTACTCCTGTGCCTCCCAGCTGTGTCCCAAGTGAAGCGACACCCAGGCTGCCCTGCACCCAGCCGGTGTGTGGCAGGGAGCTCCAGGCTTCATTAATCCCAGTCCTGGGTCCCCATATGTGCCTTTATGTTCAGAAATCTCTTGTAGACCCACTGCCGTGGGTGGATATGTGAGTAACAGCATGTCCCAGCAGTGATGGAGGGCTCCCAGACTGCAGTACATCCCAGTGGGGTAAATGGCCTGGGGTCTCAGGATGCTCAGCCCATTGCTGCAGCCCCTGGAGGAGAGGTTGCATCCCCAGGGATGCCGGAGAATGGAAGGAGCTTTTCCTGCAGCCGTGCTTGCAGGAGTGCTGGAATCTTTCCTTCCCTTTGGGCACAAGGTGGACTTCATTCAGAGGCTGGAAGTATTATAGCACGAGGGTAGCCAAGCCGTGGGGCCACTACCGGCTGGATTCCTGTTCAGGAGCAGGAGCAGCACAGAGGCTGGAGCATGTCCCCTTGCGCTAGAGCTTGCAGTCTATGCTTACACAATAAATAACTCGTACGGATCCTTTAAATAAGAGCTACGAGTGGTAAATGATCTTCCCCTATTCAACGTCACAAATCTACATTCTTTATGGGATAGCAAGTTAAGAAACTATTGGGGGGGGAATGCCCAGCATAAGCATCTTCCGTGTAATAAGGCCTGGCTGGGCTGTAAATCTCCCCAGGCGGCAGGGACAGCCCCGAGCCGCAGCAAGGCTCCCCTGCAGCTCCGCTGAAAGATGTCCCCCCCTGCGTCAGCTGCCGGAGAGCCATGCTGGAGCCCCTTCAGACCCCTGCACGGGGTGGCAGGGCTGGGCTGCCCCTGCTGCTGCCCAGCGCCCGCCGGCACACTGCCTGGTGCCTCGCTGAGGGCGGTGAGAGCGAGCCCTGAGAGCTGAGCGAGAGCAGCTGCGGTGCGAGGGTGCGGAGCGTGCGGCGCCGGTGCGGGAAATCAATAGCGCTCTTTACGTGCCATTAAGCAGGCGGTTGGGAAGCGGCCCCGCGCGGCTGGGGCTCAGCTACCGCAGGTGGTTTGTGCCCGTCCTCGTCCCCAAGCCGGACACTCAGTGTGGCCACAGCCCGGGGCCGGTGCTAGCCACATCAGGAGACACCGTGGGAAGGGAGAGCCCTCTCAGCGGTACTTCGGGGGGGCGGGCAGCTGGGGTGTGCAGGGGTCTGGGGGTGCGTAGAGGTGTTCCCCCCCGGCTAGCAGCAATATCCCGCCTGCTCTCCGGCAGCGGCTGCGGCAGGAGGTTCCGCTCGTGGCCGGGCGGGAGCCTGGTGCCTTTCTCAAAACCGCGTCCCCTTGTCAAAAGCCTTTTGTTTCTGATGTGCGGCTGCCGAAGCCAGTCCTGCCAGGGCTGAAGGCTGAGGGGAGAGGGAGGTTGCTGAGAGCTGGCAGTGCGTCTCGCAGCTGGCACCGGCCCCAGCTTTCCAGGCAGGGCTTCCCGCCTGCCCCGGACATGGGCAGCACCCCATGCAGACCCCGGATGGGGAAGCCCCTATGGCTAAACAGGGGGAGCATCCTCAGCTGCACCCCAAGATGGTCCTGGCTGCGGTGTGGGAAGGGGGCAGCAGGCTGTCACTCCTGCCTCTTCTCAGTAAGGCTCTGCCACTGTCCCCCCTTGCGACTAACACTGGTCCCGACGCGGGGACTCTCTCTGACCTTTCCACCAGAACGGTGCTTAATAAATGTCACATTTTCAGCCCATTTTGACGTTGAGTAAAAGAGCTGGACTCATTGATCCTCACCTGCCTGATGCCTCTTCAGCCCCCACCCTGTTTCCCCTCTCCCCCTGTGGGGGGCTGAGCATGCTCCGGAGTGTTGGGGGCTCACCAGGGACCTCTCATCTGCTCATTAGTCTTCAGGTATTGCAGGACCTGCCCTGGATGGAGCACAGAGGGGGTCTGTGTCCAGGCGGCGCAGTACGGGTCCCAACACAGCATCATCCCCGCTGGAAGGTGGCATCGCTGTGGTAATGGTGGGTGGTTTGGGGCTGGCGGTGTTGGTACCCAGGAGAGTCTGGAGCATCCATTGCCAATCCCATACCTGCGAGCTGCTCGTCAGAGCCTAGCCTTGCTCATTTGGGCCACCAGGCTCTATGGACCCATGTCCTGCAGCCCCAGTCCATCGCCTGAGCCAGGGGTTCAGTCTGTCCAGAGTACCCGTGCTCACAGCTTGGGCACCATGCGTGTGTGTCCCCAGGTCTGTGTCTCTGAGGTGCAGATGCACCACAGGTTAGTGGCACTCCTGTCTGGAGCCATGGCGGTGGCAGCTCGGGAGCTGCTACACATGAGCCGCCTGGGCACGGCTCGAGGCGCTGTTTGTGCCAGAAAACGGGGGACTTTAATGCAATTCATTGCCATTTAATTTTACACAATTCCTGCTGCTTAATCCACTGAGAAATGCTAATTTATACAATTCACGTCTAAAAATAAATGTCAGTCCAGCAGCTCCCAGCAGCGGGTAGCTGCTCCCACCAGCCCCTGCTGAAGCCTTGTGCAGGGACCCCAGCCCGGAACCCACCTTGCTCCTGGCCAGCTGGGCTGCAGTGCTTGGGCTGCAGCAGCAGGAAGGCGAATATGGGGGTAATGAGAATTTGGGATATTGTGGTGGACAGCGAGAAGTTGGTTGCACTGAGGGATGTCACCGCAAAGCCCCTTATCACAGCAGGTCTTGGGGCTCTATGGCAAGGGGACACGGGGTGTCTTGGCGATATGGCTGTAGGTGAGGGTTGTGGATCTCCTGAAGTGTCTTTGGGACCCCCTCTCTCCTGTGGCTTCCCCCAGGAAAGATGGGCTCAGCCCTGAGTGTGGCTGGGGGTGCACGGGGTGAGAGCGGGTTCCCAGTGCAAATGACTGGCATGGGGCCACCTGGGCTGCATGTGAGGAGTCTGGCTGTGGGCTGGGACAACTTCTGTGGGGCTGGCAGGTATTAATTGGTCAAAAGGCACCATTAATGAATGTGGGAGGGGAGGAAAGTCTGCACCTCTCCTGCCTGGGGAGTGAGGATGGATCATGAGGTCCCTAAGGAGGCTGCTCAACAGGGGAAAAGGAGGAGGTCAGATTCTGTGGAGAAGAAGACACATGGCTGGGAAGAACCTGTGTTCAGCTCCCCACATAGCTGGCTCTTGTCCCCAGACTTCTCCATATCCTGCTACTGTCCTCCCCATCCCTGCTGGGCATTTCCCCTCCCCACCATTGCCTCATCTCTCCCTCCCCTTTGTTGAGCAGAACCCCATAGGATGGAGGTGGCACCAGCACCAGCGGTGACACTAGGGAGGGGGTGCCGGGGCAGTGGGGCAGGCAGCAGGGGCCGGGGGTGCCTCCTCCCCACAAGAGGGGGCCAAAGCGGGGGAGCCAGGGGGCGCGGAGGCGACGCAGCGGGGGAGCGGAGATGCTGGAGGAGCCGGCGGCTTTCCCACCGTCTCCCTGATTGAGATTGGATCACTGTGAGCATAAAAAAGCTCTCTTCATAATTATATTTAATGAATTGACTTTAAAAGCTCTTATGCTCTTATCTGGGTAATTTAATATCACACACTTAATAAGCCTGTCTCTGATATGGGGGGGGAGCCAGCGGCCAGGACGCCTGTGCCTGATGTGGCTCCCCAGGGATGTGGGACGTGCCACGAGGCTGGTACCACGTGCCAGGCTGGGCAGATCAGGGGCACTGCTGTCCCCCCAGGCTGGGGCACCCGTGGGGTGTCTGGGGACAGTGCCACCCCAGTGCTGCTGGCTGCAGAGTGGGGTGGGCACTTCGGGTGGCTGAGGGAGGGATGGGGTTGGGGCACCCAAGGGGCTTGGCCCCAGGGGTGGGTGCTTGCTGGTGCCTGGGGACACAGGGCTGTGGGGCTGACAGGATGCAGGAGGACTGGCTAGGAGATAAGGGGGGTTGGCACCCCCCTTATGGCACCATGGCTGGCAAGGCATTGCAGTGACCCCATCCAGTGTCACCCATGGGAGGGGTCCCAGGGCCAGGTGGTGCTTGGGAGCAGCCATGGGGCAGAGTACACCATGAGTCCCAGTGCCATGATGCTGTCGGATCCCTGTGTTCCTCCAGCTCTGGCCACCTTCTCACCCAGGGTAGTGACTGGAGTAGCATGGGGGTAAACAAAGGTTTGTCACCATAGCCTCTGCAGCTCAGTCCCCCTGGCTCCTGCACTGCCAGCCGGGGTGCCGGATGTTTCCCTGCAGGCAGGCATTGCTGCAGCCCCAGCAGGAGGCCCTGCCCCCCCCCCCCCCCCGCCCCGACCCATTGGTGCGTGCAGGCAGGTGCCTGGAGCGAGCCAGAGGGACAGGCTCTGCCATATGGAGCCAGGGCCCCCAGGGACCATGGCAGGCTGGAGGTGGGCCCTGTGCTCTGTGGCCATGGGGGCAGACCCTGGCATGCCCCATACCAGGTGCTCGCTGGGCAGCAGGGTGGGAAGCCACTGGTCGGACCTGTTTCCCCTGTATGTCAGAGTTGGAGACGAAGGGATCCATCCAGTGCCTACAGCCTGATGACACGTCCGTGGTCACCCTGCACCCTAACATCCCTGATTCCCAAGTGATGGAGGATAGCGCGGCACTTCTCAGCATCCCTGCCTGCTCTGCTCCAGGACCTATGGCAGGGACAGGGAGGGTGGCGAGGGGAGGGTACATAGTGCTGGCTTGTGGCTGGTCGTCCCCAGGCACAGGGGTGCCTGGCAGTGCCGGGTGCCGTGCTCGCTGCCAAGGCCAGGAGGGCTGGAGGGAAGCATGTGCCAAGGTGGCAGGGTGGGGGGACAAGAACACAGCTGCTGCCTGGCTCTGTGGGGGGGTGGCGAGACCCCCGGCTCCCAGCCGGCAGCATGGGGCAGGGTGCAGCCATGCCGGGTCTCCCTCCACGGGGGAGCGGCTGGAGCAGGAGGTTTACAGAGCTGCACTAAGTGACGCAAATGGTTTGAAGCCCATAAAGAGAGACGGTTTTATGTAAGACGACTATATAAAGCTCTGCTGTTCTGCCATTGATGAGATATAGGCCTTTATTTATAGAAGGCAATGTTTGCGGTGCGAGCGCTGAAAGCCAGCCAGGGACCCACAGATAGGGCGTCGAGTCATTTCACATGCAGCTGTCGTCAACACTGTTCACACATTAAGGAAAAAAATTAACAAGTTTGCAGCCAGTCAGGTGGAAAAAACAATAATTGTTGAAAACCGTATTTCCCCCTTTTTCCAATAACAAATAGTTGGAACACTGCTGGGGAGGCTTGGGCTTGCTGCAGAAAGGATGGGCTGAGGCTCCAGCCGGGCTGGGTGATGGAGCGGGCAGGGGGAGGAAGCCAGGGGTGGGAGGGGAGCCCAGGCAGGGGCTGGAGGGGCTGCTGCCAGCACCCAGCAGGCTGGCAGTGCTGGGGAGACCCTGCCTGGGCATTTATATATCCAGGACCAGAATAACAGCCCCTGTGAGCAGGGACAATGAGGCCAGTAGAGCAGCATAGACGTGTGTGCTGGGGGCTGTGGAATGGGACCAAACACAGGAGCTGAAGGTGCTCACTGCATGAGGGGCTGTGGACCAAACCCCGCTGAGTATTCCTGCCTGGTCCAACATTTCCTCTCCCTGCCTGTGCACACAGGGATGCTCTAAGGTTATTTCTTTGCCAGATGTGGCTGGGTTTTTACTGGAGAGCAAGCAGCAAGTCCCTGTGGTCAGAACGCCCTGCCAAATTTTGTTTCATGCACGAAAGGAGGAAAAACTTCTCATGATTAATTGTGCAGTAGGGGAGAACATGCATCTCTATAACCTGCTCCTTGCTGGTCGCTGGCCTTTTCTTCCAGGTGCTGCCCCAACCTGCAGCCAGGGTGGAAGCTCATCCCCAGGGTATGCTCCCTGCTTGGGCTGCATGGCGAGGGT